GTCTACAGTCGAAGTACAAGGAATCTCTAACTCTCTAATGTCAACGCTCACTTTGGGGAAATTGTAGAAAACAGGCTGCTTACTGACCTTGCCAAGCGTGGAGGAAGCTAATCAGCACAGGATGTTGAGTTTCAAGGTGCTAAATATAGTTCCGAGAATAATAACTCTGTCTGGCTCCGGCTTGTATCATCCATAGTAAGCAGTCGACGAATAAACTTGGATGATAAATAAAACATGACGAGAGGACTGGTGCCTCGGAGAGAGAATAATATCGTCTCGGATTCGGAAATGTATAGAAATGCCCCCTTTTGATTTGACACGCCTGATTAAAAACGACGGCTGATAATGCCAAATGAGACCGACAAAGCTGTTCTGAGCTGCGATCTTTCACTTTGCTGTGTGTGTTGTGGTTTTGGCGAGTGAGAGGAGTGGCGAGAGTGAAAATGTAATACATGCACTTACAAAGTATGGATGAAGGGTTTGGAACCCGTTCAAATTGCTGCTCTGGTGAAAAGATTAGTTAGCTATGTATTTATTACGAGTACGTAGGTGCATGAACTGCATAATTTGTCCAAGTCCACAGTTGAGTGAGGCACTCACTGTCATTCTACCAATTCTGGCACTCTCACCCTGTACTCACTCACCTACACGTCCTCTTTAATAGGCAAAGCCTGGTTGCATAATTCACTCTCCTGTAATTCTTAAAGTGGTTCATTCTTCTCGGAGGAACATCGACTCTCCAGAACCCAGTGATGAGCTATACATATGTATGCACGAGCATGTGATCGTGGCATCCATTAGTTGACTGCTTTCCTCTGTAAGTGCAACTTTTATGCAGAAATAATCAACTATGAAATGAGAAAGTTTTTGCAGTATTCTAAAATGTTGCAGACACAAGCACTCGTAGACTTGTCTACTGGTTTGTGTGTTCCATAACCACGGACGTAGGTGCACTGCATTAAACTTTCTCCGCTTGTGTCTCTAAAGTTGCTTTGAGAACAAAATCAAACCAAAACCTTGAAGTCTGGCTTGGTCAGACGCGCCACGTCATGTACAACATATGCAAAAAATATGTTGCATCATTCCATCTTCAGAGTTTACCACACCATTTGTTATTTGTTCTTATGTATGGTGGCCTTAAAATTTTGAATGCATCGTAAAACTAGAAGGAGGTTTCAGTCTCTGACCTACGTTGTTCCTGACAGAGGCCAAACTGAAAGTTTTTCATACGACAAATTAATGATGACAACAAAATTCCTTCTACTGGTATGAATGACGATACACGTAATACTTTCTCCCAGGAGCACTTTAGCAGTAAAGCAGAAAGGATTCAGTCACATTGACGTTTGTGGAAAAACAGTCTCGAAATTGAAAAGGCTGTTGAATGTTCCACTGGACTTTTTCTTACGTGATCATACTGAACGCGTATGTCCCACTCCCCTCGTGTCATGGTGAAAGAAAGTGGATCATGTAACAAGCAGCAGGCTTTGCACATTTTTAGGCGTATATATTTGAGGCGCCTGTGAATGTAAGCATGTCCCACAGTAGAAACTTTGTTCATTCTCCTACATACAATGACCAGCTAGTGGTGACTGACTGGCTACTACTGCATCAGAATCAATTTATTGATTGCGTGTGACTTGTTTTGGTTTATCTTTTTAAAAGGACACCTGCCAACTTCAAGCAGTCATCAATATGCTTTTACTAAATAGCTTTACTTCTGCTGAAGAACCTCTTGTTTTACACAGCATGTGAGATGGACCACTTACGACTAATTGTGTTATGCACCTTACAAAAATATAAATTGAGTCGTATATGTACATAAATAGCTATTGTTCCCAGAAGGAATAAATAGAGCCACCTCGACCTAGCTCGCTTTCATTCATGGTAGGGCAGGTTTACATTTTGGGAATTTTGCATGATGAAAGGATGAAAGGAAGGAATAGAAAAATGTTTACCACATGCATGAGCACTTTCTTCGTTATTGAGAATTTCTAGTGAGGGGCCAGATAAACTTGTGATATGCTGCATTCCATGAAGAAATTCCCTTACTTGACATTAGTTGACAATAATTCTGAAGGCTGAACATATGTTTCCCAACCATCCTTTACATTCAAGGACTTCAAACACACCACGAGCCTGATCGCATTTCCTTTGATTTCACCAAACCCCAAAACCAAAATTATTGAGAGGTATAGATTCAGCTACATATATGTAACATGACATGCCACATGCCAGGCTGCACACACGTCCAGAAGGAGGTTCGGTTAGTATGCTGGGCAGAAGTTCGTATTCGTCGTAGTCATTGCCGTCGCCCTCGAATAAGGACCACGGAGGCTGGCAGTACTGATAAGCAGGTGCCACACTCATAGATGAGGGAAAGTTGAGACGAGGTTTGATGAAGGAACTCACGTCCGCTCCTAAGTGACGGGTAGTGGAAGGCTTATTAAAGAAAGTCCCAGATTCGTCAGGGCTGGTATGGGTGTAGAAAGTAAGCATACTTGCACATGCTCTGCCATAGCAAGTTTTCTCTGCACTTGACTCAATTCACTTCCGCCTGTGAAATTTCTTTATTCAGGTCACTGCCAATTTTAAGCGAGACGTGAAATTTTACTAAATTTGCAGCTTATTTAAATATATGTCTATTTATGTTCACACTTGACTTTTGAGACGAGATTTGGGGCCAGAATCTAAAAATATCGCATGAAAGTTTTTCAATTTACTTATTAAATTATTATGTCATTGTAGGAAACCATTATGGTGTGGATGAGCTCCAAGGTTGTATGTCAGTTGGTTGTGTTCGTCATCTCATTCGCTGATCCCAGTGTTCTTCTGTTTGAAACAGCTAGTCCCTATGTGTTCTTATCTCACTGGTGGATTTGTATGGCTAATCTTGCACCGTTTCAAGTTCATCCAACCAGGAGGACTCCGAATTCCTTTGAGTGCACACAAACACCGAGGCAGAGAGTGAACAAGATAAGATGAAAAAGCGGAATAGTGAACTTGGTCGCGCTGCTCACTGGCGGAACTTGATGGAGGTGAGGGAGTTGGGGAACAATGTCTCGCAGAAAAAGAAAACTTTCTCCTTCTGCTCTACTTGACACGGGAGAAAGCAGCCGCTAGACAGATATTTAGTCGAGCTGTGTATGTGTATAGGTAGTTTTTTGCCGTCACATTACTGTAAATTTTCTACACATTTGCAATACACATATATAACTACATATGTACGGTGCACATGTATACACACAAGCCTGATCTCTTTTTATGTTTTAAGTATTTGAGCAGCCTAGATAGATATGCATTGAAATAAACAAATATTTGTATTATTAGTAGAAGGAGGAGAGGAGAGCGAGAAAGGAAATGCTTGCAATTTAGATTTCTCTGCTAACTTGAAATTGGAACGGAAATTTATCGAGAATCCTTCCGCATGTCGTCAGCGAAAAAGGCGTGGGTGGCGGAATTGGGTTTAGAAACAAGAGATACATATATAGTGTTGATGGAGCAGTAATTGGATATCACGTCCTGACGCCTACTTTTCTTATTTGTCGAGATAAATTTTGCACTTTTGAAGTGATACTAAAACAAGTGTGTATCCAGCAGGATTTATGGTATACAGCGAGAACGATCATAATCTTAATTTTACTGACGGACGTACACAAGTGGGTGTACATAAGCTGGAGATGGTGATGCAGAGTGCGTTGTTTTCATATACTTTTCCACATACGCGAGCATGTACTTTCAAGGAATGAATGAATGCCTCATTTTTATAATCCATCCCTTGTGGTTGCAGTCGACTTATTGCACAACGAAAAGTCGAAAAGTTTTGGAAGCCATTATAAATTTCGTGGTGCAGTTTGAAGCATGAACACGGCTGTTACGCAATGATCTGCCCTCATCCGAGGTAATTGTCTTATCAGTAATGTTTTGATACCACATAGGGGCTCATTGATTGCACATAAGTGGTGGTGCCTTAGGGGGAGATTTCGCGTGTGTGTGCCTAGTTGAAAATATTTAGGATATGGAGCACTGCCTGCGCAGGGAGGAAAAAAAACAAAGAGAAGGAGAGAGGGACTTTCAGGGTCACTTCCCACTCGTGGTGCTCCGTAGTACTCGGCTGAACTTGTGATGTGATCTTGGAAGGAAAGCAGCAGCAGCAGCCGGGCATTTTCACATTTCCCTGAAGAAACACATTCACGGCTAGGTTGGTTTGGCTGCCTCAAGGCCTGGATATCTCTCCTTGGATCCTTGGCTTCCCTCCTCCTCTGATGATGAGGGTATCACTTTCCCGGAAAAATTCCGATCGAGATGCGAGCCAGCCAGCCAGCTCGAGAGAAACGTCTAAGGAAGGATAAGGAAAGGACGTGGATGGTGAGTGCGAGGAGTGGACCATTTGTTGTTGGCAGTAAGTAAGGGACTCCATCCAGACCCACCAACGAACGTGGCGGTGAATAGGTAACGATCTGCTGCTGCTGCTGTCTCCTCCAACTTGGACTCCAACTTTCTCAGCATGCCAGCACTCCCTCATGCTCAGATGTAGGTATGCATGTCTGCCTGATAGTAAACGTTGTAGCGACTCCGACCACCCAGCATCTTCAATCACAAACTCAACACCTAGAAAATGTCGGGCCTATAAAAAAACGCCCGTCCAGTTAAAATATCCCTTGCTTAAAATCTTTCTCGTATCGTGTTCGTGTGACTTAATTAGCAAGGTTGACACCCTTAATCTGTATCTAAAGTAAATTTTGGGCAATTCGCATGAATTTGATAATGAGTTTTAAAACGGATCGGATGCTAAGGGCCATTTCCATGCTAAAAACGGTTGATTTACTTTCACCAAGCGGACATTGGAACGTGTTTAGTTGCATGCATAGGACCTCATTGCTTTCGTGCCCAGTGGTGAAATTAAGCGCAGAGAGAAGAGGGAGTGGATCATAACTGTGGATTTCACGTCCCAACCCAAAGGATCCAGAACAGTTCGAATGGGGCCGAATGCAGGTTCTGGTGGAACAATGTGCCCATGGAAAGGTTTGAGCGAGCCGTCTCCGTGTTCAGTTCTACCCAATCCTCCGACGCAGCCGGTATGCGGTCCGCTCTGCCACGCGACGAGAAAGGGAAAGTGGACATGAGCCTTGAACGGGTTCCTCGTTTCATCACCTTTCTTATCACCACCCAGTCTCGTTTGTTCCACTCGCACTTATCCAACTCTGCAGCGGCTGCCTCTCACTAGTTGACAATGACAGTATTGATGAAGGGGAGAGAAAGTCACTGCTAATAAACACGGAAATCTACCTCTCTACTCGCTCTCTCACTCCTTATCTTATCCGACTTTCTAACTGAGTTCACTCCAGCAGTGTTGCATTAACTCATGGTCATGGTATCAATGGACGGGCCATTTCTTGACCCTTTCCACCTCACAAATCCTTGTTGCTGCTGCTGTGGGACTGTTCCTATAGCCAATGGCGTTCGCACCGTGGCCATAACCTCCATGGTAAGAAATAATCCCATTCTTTCTGCAATTGTTCCTTCCATCTTACAGATATCGCATTGCTAGATAAATTCCCAGGCTACCCAAATCCAAACATAACAACTTATCTGGAAAGTCAAGCAAAGCAATGATTTTATTTGCATTTTGTTCAATGCCCTTCAGACAAGGCAAAAATTCCAACAATGTAACGTTTATTGCCCATTCAGAAGAGGGACCCTTTTGGAGAAAGAGCAATAATTCTATTCTACAAGGTTTTCCCACCCACCCAGCAGCATAGTGCAGCATAGCAAAATGAACAGAAAGCTCAGGTCTCAACTTCCTTCATCGCATATTTCTCAACCCACGCCGAGAGAATTAAAAGAAATAAGGTAGAAAGAGCGAGGGCTAGATCCTCCCATTTTCGTAGCAGAAACCAAACTTATTTTCTTTTCTGTTTCTGCATGCACAAATACTTTTACGGTGTTGTGCGTAAGAAAATTCACTGTGGTGGGTGGATCATGGGTCGTGGCAGACAAAGGCAAGAAAGCAATAAGGCACAAGTTCTCCAACTTCTCAATGTCAATGAGACAGTTCCGGCCCCGGAGAGAGAAAGTCTGAATTTTATCACGCCTTTTAAAGTAATGGTCACATAAACCAACTCTTTAATTGTTCTTGATAAACCGCGTGATGAGACGGGAAGACTGTGTCCCATTTTTGGTAGTCGTGCTTCATACCGTTCATTAAGTTTACCGGAAATAAGTTCTTGCTTTATATTGAAGTAACTGAATTATTTATCAGATAATCGCCGCGATTTATGGGATGATGGGGATTTGGTTTGCATGTAAGTTGAAAATTTATGGAGCTGTACTGCATAAGTACGATCAAGAAATTGTCATTCAATTTGTAATACGAGTTTCTCATTTGTGATTAGTCAATGCGCTAATCCCTGCCGATACCAACAACCTCTTTATAAAGGAGGGGCTTAAGGCCGGGGCGGAAATTAGCACCTACAATAACCACAACCTCATCGAGATTCTCCTTATTTGTGCAATTGTAAGAACATTTCTCATATGTTAATCCAGTCTACAAATTTTTTTAGATTAAAAATGTGGCTTAAATTTTTTTGTACGTTACAGACTTCACTAATAAGCGGGATTATGCGGTTTCTTTCCTCGCTATTTCTACTCCGCTCCATTGAGAAGGTGAGCCCGTTTTCTTTCTATTAATAAGTAAAACCTGTTTTGTCCTAAATATGTGCGTACATATTAAGATATAAGTTCAGGAAGACATTGGGTCGATTTTTTTGTATTCGGTTGAACATCATGTACTGAAGCGATTTACGTATTTATATAAGTGCTCGTCTTATCCAATAATGTTTATCGGTTATGAAGCCGTAGTTCTAAACTGCCCCATTCCGCAAAAAATAATAGATACGACTGATGCCCTTTCATGTATTTGTTTACCAAGAAACAGACTCACGTCACCCATAAAATTTAGCACACGTAAATATCAACCTGACATTTATAAGCCAAATGTGAACGGACAATGAAGACTGCTCAATCTATCGTTTAATATTAAACTTGAGTAAATAGGCACAGGTTTATTTTCAGTGGAGCATGTGATGCTGACTTTCTCCGGTGGAAATACTTCACAGAAATTTTAAGTGAATGAGGTTTGGCTAGAATTTTTGACTTCGTCTTTTTCACATGCAACCCATGGTTCATAAACTATCCTAAATACATGGGAGAAAAACCTATTCTATGGATTAGAAGGAATAAAACAACGCCGAGTATTCACTCCAAGAAGTGAAACTTGGTATGATCAAAGAATTTCAGTCACAGGAAGTTCGTGTCATTCACTCGAAACCAATTTTCTTGATCGAAGTGATGTAGAACATTCTCCATCGATGCTCTGCTACTTTAGTTAAATGTTTTTCACATTGGCTTGTCATTTTATTGCGCAGGAACATTTATAATAGGAATATTTATAAACTATAATGATATGAGGCAAATGCAACATTTGATGAGCCGGATACATGGTGCATATAGATATTTATATGTATGTATGTAGATGGGCATTGTGAGCCTCGAATTTCGACGTCTTCAGGTTTACTTTCCAAAGTTTACTAGAAAGGCGCATACATAACAAAGGAAATTGTGAACATTGGTTCGACATGAATCAAGTGTGCAATTGAAAGGAGATCCATCTTGCTGCAATGAATCTTAATGGAAAGCGTGCTTTTATGATGAGACAATTTCATGTCTCTCCGTTGTTTCAACTATATATTGCTGTTTTAAAACAACGAGTTGGTTGGCTAGTTTTAGAAGGACGAAAGCGTGTCAAGTAATCGGCATGAAGTCAGCATTAGTCATTAAGCATTCGTCTCTAAGCAAGCAAAGTTGTGCAAACATCTAATATTAATATCAACTGCTTGGAAACTAAATAAGTAAGCTGGACAGTTTTCTCTTTCAAGTGGTGGTAATTTGGTACAAGGCGTATCATGCTTCACATAGCACCAAAGCACGTAGGTACTTGACATGCAGCAGTGCCATTTACTTTAGTGGAGTTCAGTGTAGGCGCTGAATGATATGCGTCTGGTGTACGAGAGTTTTGTAGCCAGAGAAGCAGACGGGTTTGATCGAGAAGAAAGTTGTTTGGGCCGAGAGCTGGCTTAATGTTGATGCTGATGCTGATTGTAAATTGTGTCAGAGTCCAAACAAGATTCGCATATTCTTGTCGCTTGAGTGAAAGTACCAGTTTCTCACATTTCTCCTCTTCATGATGTCTGCCGAAGTTGTCCACGACGGGTTACTGGTCGTGATTCTTACAGCACGCATAACAGATTAGTTGCTTATTTTCAAGGTTGTGAGAAGGTTTGAAGAAAAATCTCCATAGATTGATACTTGAGTCGCAAGTGAGGAAATTCAAAAAATGCGAACATAAAGCGAGAGAGAAAGCAGAGTGACGACTCGTGACGACTCTTCATGTTACGACGACGAGTAGCAAGTTTGTCGGCTGCTGGAAATGGTGGTGTGCGATGGGATGAGGAAATTTAAGGCTCCAGAGACGCATCTATTTATGTTTGAGGGGATTTCAACTGAATTTCGTCCAGTGTGGTAGCCTCCACTGCATGCCCATATTCTCGCTCTTTTAGACTCTGGATAGTTCAAGTCAAGTTACTAATGTCATTGTGAAATATTGACTTAACCAAGTAAATTCAAATGTTGGAGAAAGCGCAAAAGCACGGTCGACCGAAAATCGCTAGCTGAACGTATTATTTCTTGCACCAAAACTTTGCATGCATTGGTTTTGTTATCTATACATGGGTTAGTCCAGTTGTGCTAACTTTCATAACATTCCGAATTTTCAATATACAGCACGTAATAGTTCTTGCACGGAATTATTTAGTCCAATTTCATCAGTAAGACTTAAATACATATGTTACATGATTAAATACGAAAATTCCGTGTGTGTGCATACAGACTTGCTTAAAAATTGAGCCAAATATGAGGTGCATGTTTTGAAGTCATGCATTAAGATCTTGTGCCAGGCATAGTCTTATCCTTCATCACAGCCGTTTTTAATTATTCCGGTTACTTCAAAGTCATGAAAGTGGCATTTCAGCAAACATTCCTGCATTATCGTATATTTCATGAACATAAAAACTGCTAATTTTCAGAGAGCAAAATATGTCTATTAACACTGCCAAATGACTTTCTGTAGAACAACTATGAAATATTCCACGAAATCTGATTTACGTTTTGACATTACAGGAAACCAAAGCACCTGCAAAAGTATGGGTCGTTATCCATTACTGTCTGATCATCATCGTGACGGCCATAGTTTTAGGGGCATCGCAGAAAAATGATACCTTGTTTAAAAGTTATTCCATCAAAGCTTTTCTCATTTTCGCTGGGGTGGACTTTTTCTGTCTTCTGTATTTCCTCTGGGTCATCATTGGTTAGTCGTTTTTTCTTGAACACTAATATCATTATTTCCATGAATTAAAGTTTTCGTTTACAAATTGGTAAGATAATCGAATGAACTATTCCAGTGTATGTCAAGGAAGCCGTGGACATGCCAGGCTTGTGATGCTCCTGACCCAGAAAATGGACCCTGTGAACTCACCATCCCTTGTTTTCCTTCACTGTTCCCTCTTCTGTTCTCATTGCAGGATTTCATCAACTCAGGACCCAGACCTAGAAACCCAGCCGACTGGAACAAGCCACCAGAAATGTAATGTTTCCCGTCTGATGATGCTTATTCCCATCCAAAAAAATTTTATGTCGTCACAGGTTGTTTTATACTATTATTTGAACTTGCTAAATTGGACTAGAAACTGAGTACATCGATCCAAATACATGGGATACCCAGGACAGCGTCATGTGAAAAAATCTCGTTGAACGAGGACACATGGTGAAAACACGTATGTATGTAGCAAGTTAGTCAGTACAAGCACACCCTCATATTCTATCATCATCTATTCCGAGTATTCATGCACTCGAAGATACATATTCTAATATTTGCACAACAAAACCTCCAAGGACTCGCCTGAAGTAAAGTCCTAGTCAGCGGGCAAAAAATCTAGAAACAAAGAAAGGGAACAGAGGCCAGTTTGTTGTTGTCAACTTTTATTTCCCCATTACGGTCAATGGATGTGTGATGTCATCTGAGGAGAAAACAAATGCATGGGCGAGATGGAACAGACACAACGACGGAAGTGTAGTCTGTCGAAGCCCAGAACTGCTTCTTTCACATGTTAAACTTGTGAATAGTCAGAAAGAGAAAGTTTTCTTCCTTCCTGCTTTCTTTCCTCCGCTCCATTCAATCATTTTGCGAGCAAGGCAGGGATGATGGCGACTTGTAGACCACACGCTATGCATTTATATGTCACAAAATTCATCCCAAACTGACTGGAAATGGATGGAGTAAGTGGTTTGTGTATTATCTGGGGTGGATTCCTGCAGAAACAGAGGAAAAGGGGAAGTGAGACGACGACGACGACGGTCGACAGAGCTGGCAGCTCTCAGTTTCACTTTCCTCTTTCCCCTATTGTATTTTACTACCCAGTTGAGGAAGTTGAGTGCTGTTTGCTTAGTCGCATATATACGTATGCCCAGAGTTCTGTTCTTGTCCTTGTAAGTAGTCTAAAGTCAGAGGTTTACAACTTTTGACCATGCCCAAGTTTCGGCTTGACGTGCACGTGTCGGTTATTCTATCGCATAGCCTGCTAGAAGTTTTTATTTACTAAAAATGCTTAATCAACAACGAGTTAGAAAAGTTACATTTCAGCTTTCACCCAGAAAATCTCTAAACTTTGCTGTAGAAAAATTTTACAAAATTCAGATTTTGTTGTTTCCTTCTTTTCTCACTGCTACTCAATATGCATAAGGTCGCTCCAGATTGAAAGCACTGGATAATGTACAGCATATACATAAATATATACACAGGTATTAATTTTGAACAATCAGGGGAAACAATAACACTGACTTTTCAATTAATCCAGTAGCAAGATACAAATTCATACAAACTGACGATGTTAACTGAAATTATGATCTGCATGCAGAAAACCAATCTCAAAATAGTTGGAAAGAAATTGAAGTTTCAATTTAATTGAAGTTATTACTGAAAAAACTGTGTAACAATTTATTTTCAAGATTTAATTTTCGAAAAATATTACAATATTTACGAGTATACTATACTACAGTTCCGTTCAAAGTTTCATACCAAGAATGGTGAAAAATGATTTGTAGATTATGTGTACACACATTTAGGATATTGCAGAGCTGGCTTTGCAATATCAGATTTAGCAAACGTTTAAAAAAATCAGATATTTTAAAGTTTAATGTCTTCTAATAATGTTCAAAATACTGAGTGCACAGATCTGTATACATAGTTTACCCATTTATCTGTATCCACACTTGTCTGAATGACAAACGATAGTATTTTGATATTCTAGTTTTATTCTAGTTCCATTCATGAGTACTATATTATAAAATTTGGTGTGGAATTTGCACAATTTGACATGTGAAAATATTACTGAAAATATTATTGCTGCCAACAACAGGTTAGAAATGGAGGTAATGTATTTATGGCTGTTTATGCCAAAAACAGACTTTTCCTCAACGTGTACATGTGTGCACTTACTCCCGAAGCTGGAAACGTTTGCACGATTGCATGTCAAAATTCCATATTTAATCTCTCTCGCTAACAATTCACAGCCTTGATTCGTTCGAGGCAATAAGTTCAATGTCCTTTTTCTGCTTTAAGCCACTTCTGCACACGTGTATCCCCAATAACCACAAATGAAACTCCTTACCACACTCACTCCTTATTACCACCATACAATCCACAAATTATGGTATCGATTAAAATGGCGATGATATTTCGATCAGCCATTGGCTTCGGAATCCAAGTACGACAATGGTTGTCGACACTTCGTAATATGCATTCAAACCAAACTCATGCCCTCTAATAATGTACACCTTATATACAAATACACATTTATATGTAAATAACAGAGTTAATTGTTCATGTGTACTAAAACTATATAGTCAATACCTCATTATTGTATATATTATGTCAACGCCCGGATTGATTGGATACAAAGTAAATGAAAGCACATAAAAATGTACCTAATCTATAGTTGTAGCATACATACTTGTAATCAGGAGAAAGTAATTAATGGGTCAGTTTTCCATGTACATGACCTCACATAAATACGTTAACATATAATGTGGAATCACACCTAATGCCAAATTGTTCTGCGTCCAATCCACGACGAAAATTCAAGGAAATTCCTCCTCCTTAATTAATTAATACGGTTTTACTAAATAGTATAGATGTCAAATGTTGATTGGTAAATGCTCGTGCTAACAAATTCAAACTAACATTTCAAAGTGTACCTGTACAAAAGACACAAATAATGTTGATGAATGGAAATAAAAATAAAAACAATTACAGATTAAAAATAAAGCGTATGATACGTATTTATTATCATACAAGCCAAACCTGTTTTAATTGACCACATAGCGTTACATACAACATTAAATCTGACGTGTGCCGTCGCACGTGACGACATTCACGACTGGAAGAATAGAAAATCTTTTTGAGAAAAGCATCACTTAGACGATCATATGCAGCCAATTATTTGCAACTCATTTTATGTAGTGCTACGTAATATGTATGTACTGGAAAACCAAGAGAGGATTTTGTTGCGCCTGAAGAAATGTGACATCGGCTCAGGACGAGTCAGGACCAGCAACGCTAATCCACAAGCTCGACAACCTTCAATCTTTGAAATGTGGTATTGGATTGCCAACCTGTGACCTTTTGCTGCTCTCGAGTGCCTTTCATGGATTTCTGCTGCAATTAATCTGACACCAGACATTTGTTCAGTCTCAGTTTCTGTAATCTGAGGCTTGATATTGTTCATTAGTAAAGCCGGCTAAAATGTACTCACAGCGTGCGATTTCAGGAAATTTAACACTGAAAACTTAACGACCCAGGAATGACGAATGGGCAGAAATACAAAAGAATTAAAAATGCTAATTTTCCATACATAATGTATGTATATATATGTTGGGATTCCTTTAGTTTCCTGTTCCCATTGCTCTTCTTGACTAAAAATGCCTAAAGTGTATATAATCCAGAGAGATTGGATTTTATATGACTCGTTGTTTCATATCTTCACAGCTCTCTGTTAACTTATTGCACCTGCAATGATTTGACGGTGTCAAATTACTGCCCCAACTGGCTTTTTGTTAACACGAAGGAATAAGTGTGATGAGCTATTGAATGATGTGTAGCATCATTGTCCGATGTTTCCCCGATCTCTCCGATCGTCCTTTCAGCAAGTAATTAGTCATTCACTAACCATCCTCTTCATGGTGCTGGTACATCGCTGAGGAGGAACACTAGCGATTATTTAGCACGTTGCCATTTCACATTACCAAGAATGAATGATATCAAAGTTATGTCGAAACATTTCTCATGTTCATCACAAAAGAAAAATTGATGTTGGTGTCCAATTCATATTGAACCCAAGAAAAATGAGCAATGCAAGGTCGGTCGATAGGTCGGTATTATTTACTGCACAAGGTGGAGTAAATAATACCAATGCCGACTCTAGTACGCTTAAACAAAATCAGTGACTCAGTGCTCTTTATACATAAAGAGCTATTGAGGGTATTCATTATTTCTTCGTATCCTTAGTATTCTTCGTATCGTAAAATAACTTACGAAGCTTACGAGATTTTGTAAGCGTCGTAAGATTTTGTCATCGAAAATCACGTTACTACGCTTACGATTTTTACTAAGCTTGACCCCTTGTTTTTTCTTCGTAAACTATTTTACGATACGATGGATACGAAGAAATAATGAATACCCTCATTGTTAAGTTCTGGCTGCCTGGCTGGCTGGGTCCCTGTGGCTCTCAATGCAACTCGCCCCACTACTATTGAATGGAGTTTACGCAACCAGCGTGTGCTCCGCTACACCATTGAGCGTACCCATGGTGACTCTGCCGCGACACTTTGTCTCTATCTTCTTGCAGTAGAATTGTAAACATACCAGCAGCATAAAATTCATATCCTATTCTCTGGAATTTTAACTTTTTTGCTATGCAGTCACCCCTCCCTCTGGAAATTTGAGTTTTTTGTTAGTTAATCACCCCTCTCTCTGGAAATTTAAGTGTTTTGTTTTTTAGTCACCCCCTCTCTGGAAATTTAAGGTTTTTGTCATTCGGCCACCACATCCTGTGGAAATTTAAACGTTTAGCTATGTAGCCACCCCCACGCGACGGGAATTTAAGTAGTTAGCTATGCAGCCACCCCCACGCGACGGGAATTTAAGTAGTTAGCTATGCAGCCACCCCCACGCGATGGGAATTTAAGTGTTTACCTATGCAGCCACCCCCACGCGATGGGAATTTAAGTGTTTAGCTATGCAGCCACCCTCACGCGACGGGAATTTAAGTAGTTACCTATGCAGCCACTACAAGAGGGGGAAGTCAAATTGTTCCGTGATCAGGGAAATTGAAATGTATGATTTGATGCACGTACATATGTATTATGACAATGGACAAAGTCTCCACTGGGAATTATTTGAAGTGTAGCGTAGGGGATTTTGCGCTATGGGCACACCCCCTCTGGGAGCCTAGAACCCGTTCTTGAACGGGCCTCTACTCTAGTTGAAAATAAAATCTGACGCATTTGAACAGTTTAGCTCCCTGAAACTCAAGGTTTTTCCACCTGGTGAGCTGAAATTCATGAAAGGAAATGCGGAGAAAGTGCAGATGCTTAAACCGAGAAATATATGTACATACTTGTGACAGAATGAATTTTATTTTATTTTCACTCTTCTAGCCCGAGTCAGGGCTTATCATGTCCATCTGTGGGTCTATCCGTCCTTCTTACGATAACTCTCGTTAAACTTATCCTACCGACTTGAAATTTTATACGCATGTGGTATGGGGCAAATGAGGAGTTAAATTCAAAGATGAAAAAATTGGTCAAGTGGGGTCGATCGTTGGTGAAGAATATTTGTAATTGTCGTAGAGGGCTGATACTCGGGACATTGGTCATACTTGCGTACTAAATATTACAACAATCAAATTATTATTTAATTAGAAGGACCCAAGGGTAATGTAAAATTTATGAATATTTTTATGAGAGGAGCAGGTGGCACATACTGATTTTTGAAACTGGTCGAAAAAGCTGAAATTTTGCATGTTTGATTATGGGAACATTTTTGAGGATTGCGAACAGTAGTTGGTTCGAACAGTTGGGTCATCTGACAAAATTTATAGGTGGACTCTGAATCGGGCTAGATCATTGTTCTGTACATAAGCATGGAATAGCAATCCTTACAAGATCGCTCATATATGGTACATAAGTAGATTTTTTTGCTGGTGATTGTTGTTGCCCCTGTTGTTGGCTGACTGGCTGTGAGTTTGTGCAAGGTGGAACCATTGTAAACAGGTCTTTCTGTTCGAACCTCTCGGCTTGAAAAGGTTATGGTTGATGTAATGAGAGTTACGAGATTGAAGTTTGAGAGGAAAGCACTTAACTGAGCAGTTGAAACTTGCCGATTATTTAACATTCCTTCACCCTGTTGAAAACGTAATCGAAAATATTTTGTGATTTTCTCCAGCTTGCATAAGTCTGCAATTTCAAGTTTTCAAGGAATGAAAAAATAGGCTTGATTCATAATCCAACAGTTGAAAGTGGTTGCCTATCATGGCCCATAAACGTGTCGACTTCATTGGTCAATTGACTTTATTTATTTGTTTATTCCACTTGCTTTCACCACTGAGGAGAGGATTTCTTCTCAGGTTTTGATTAATAATTTGGACACTATTGCAAACGATGAATGCTCTAACGTTGGCCAATACATGTTGGCTAAGGTTCAAATTTCGTCCATCTATTTTCTAATAGCTATACACCCTTAGTAGTCAGCTCAAATACCACTCAACATTCCTTTCCTTGCAGCAGGAGGGGAAGAAAGGACGGGGAGAAAGTCAACGAGTTGAGCTGAATTGTCTCGTCATATTATGTAATTCCACCATTTCCTTTGGTGTCATGACTGGCGAAGGATATTTGCGTCGGAACGAAGAACGAGGTCAACATGCTAGAATTATCAATCAATAAGTTGTTATAGATTAGATTAGTCTTTATATTCTTTTGGTTAATAAAGATACAGATATGTGCATGGTATGCCCAATATATCACTTTATGTGTACAATGGAACACACTGCACTGAAAAGAATTATTTTGGTGTTATTTTTGAAAGCTTCATTAGTGGTATGTTCTACGCAGCAGCATTTACATAAATATACTTGGGATTAGCTTATGCAATGGAATAATGTTTTACGTAATACTCAATCTGTTATTATGTCCTACTGCCGTTCTACATACGTACAAATGCACAATGTGCATTGCACATATTTATTATGTACTTTTGTTGCAGATATACATATGCATATGTACAGATATATATATAGCTTATTACTGAAAAATCCAAAATACGAAAATATGAATGCAGAGAATTTGTAATCCAACCAAACAGTACCTTCTGTAAACACTTAGCATTTATTCTACAATGTACTTCAGCCTATAATTAAATGCCGTATTGTTGTAAATGCACGTTTCGACTCAGTCAGAAGTGCTATTGAGATGCTATCAAAAAGGTAATAGCGGTTGTGGTGACATTGCGTACATACACGCATATCTGAGCATACTCCATAGTTTCCGACCCACTATGTACATATCATTTAGACTTTCGTGTGTATGTGTACTTTGTGTAGCACTACATGTGCGCAATGACCAGCCAAATTCTGGCCAGTGGGAAAACTTTCAAATGAAAGGAACATCATTTGTTCAGAAAGACACGGAGTATGGCGATTTTTTGCAGCAAGCGCTAAACGGCATGTAGCCCACAAAGACCAAAAATTTCCTTCATTCTGTTCGTTCAGCAGCTTCCTCCAAAGTCAGACTAGAACAAAACCAGAGCCACATCACGTATCCGGGAGACTGTTCCTGCTACACACAGTTGCTTCAAAAATTTACTTAGACAGGAAAGTCTTGTCGTCTTTTGTTGTTTGTAGCATTGTCCTTGCAACATTCACTACAAAGCTGCAGTTGTCCTCCGCTCGAATCTTGAAGTGACACAGTCGACGCCTTTGGGCTGTATTATGGAAATGGACACTATATTTTCTACTGTCAGCCTTGAAGTAGAAGAAAAACAATAAGATTCTTTGAAATAAAACAAAGACCAATTTTTGCCTGAAGTTTGATTTCCTCCAGAATTTGTATGTTAACAGCATCGTCAATACATATTATTTTTATTTCTAACATAAACGACAAGTCATTCAAGCCTTTCATTATTCTTTTACTGCAAGAGTTTATTCTGATTCTCTTTTTGGAAAAGTGTTAAAATTATTAATTGTACGATTTTCACCTTT